GCACCTGCACCCCACGCACCTGCACCTCGTAGCACCTGCACCCCATGCACCTGTGCCCCATAAACTTGCCCCTCACACATTGCACCCCACACATGTGCTCTGGGCCCAGGGCCTCCGCACCCCTGCCCCTCAGTTTGGTTGTGCTCAGTTCTTCCGGAGCTTGTCCACGGTTCCTCCTCTTCAGCCCTCCCAGGAGGCCCAGCTGCGTAGTTTCTGCCCTCTCTGCCATGGTTCACTCGAGATGTTTCTTATGCTGGTGCTTTTTTTTTGAACTTGAAGTTGCTGTATGAAAGACTGCCCTGCTGCAAAAATTAAAAACTTGGGTAAAGTGCCACGGAGAGAATGTAATCATGAAACAGGAACACACTGTAACCATGGTAACTAGTGAGGGACGGCTGTGACTGCAGCCTGCAGGTGTGGGAAGGCCAGGCCCCGGGCTTCTGCCCTGATGGGCGAATTAGGAGCTGCTGTATCGGTGTCTGGCCACTAGTGGTCCCCTGTGTTCCTCCGGGGCTTGGAGGACGCTGCAGAGGCAGAGGGAGCTGCAGAGTCAGGACCAGAGAAGGCCGTGTGGTCCCCGTGAGGGGCCTGAGGCCAACGCTGGCAGTGCCCTGCGGGGCTTGTGCTGCAGTCACTGCCTCGGGTTAATCTCGTGTCAGGCCGGGGCCTCCCTGACTGGCCGGGGTGGTGCAGCCGCCGCCCTCGCATGCAGCAAGGCCCTGGATTCCCCCTGGCGCTCTTCCCGTGCCGAGCTGGCCTGGGCTGGCCCCTCCTGACACCATTCCTTCCCAGGGCTGCAGGACCTGTCCCTTCCTGTGACAGCAAACACGAGCTTTGAGGAGGACAGAGATGACGACGGGGGCGCCGTGGACTCCGAGCCCCTACCCCAGGTACGCGCAGGCTTCCCCGCTTCTCAGAAAGCCGTCCCTGTCCTGGCAGAGATGCCTCTGTGCACCCCAGCACTGTGTCCATCTGCCCTAGACTCCCGCGGTGGTCACGAGCCCCCTCAGTCCTGGGAGGAGCCCGTCCGTCCCCGCAGGTGGCCAGCAGCTGTGGTCACTGCCGCCTGTCTTGTGTGTTGTTCACACGGTCAGGAGCTCTTGCCCATCCGCACGTGTGTCCCTGGGTAGGCTGGTGACATGGCCGGTCCTGCCAGGCGGGGAGGCTCTCTGGTCCCCAGAACCGGGAGCCAGGAAGGCGGCGTGTCTCAGGGCAGCCTGGCAGGGAGAGCGGGGCTGGGAGCCAAGGACGACGGGGCTCGAGGCCTGGCCTGTCTCCCGCCAGCTGTGCGGTCCACCCCGAGCCTCAGTCTCCCCATGTGAATCGGTCTCCGAGCCTAACACTTACCGCAGGAACGGTGTGGGTGTTGGGCCAGGGCGCCAGGGAAGCGCAGGCAGAGGCCTGCACACAGCGACCGAGAGGAGGCCCAGCCGGCTGGCACCTCCAGGAGGAGGCGGGTGGCGGCTGAGGGGCAGGGGCCTGGTCACCGGTGTCCCGGTCATCAGACTCTGTGGCCCTTCCTCGGCCGTGGGTGAGGGCCAGGCCCGTCCCCTGCGCGTGCGGTGTCTGCAGGTCTGGGCGCCGCTGGCTCCCGTGGCTCCGTGTGGCGGGGAGGGCGGCTGGCTGTGCGGAGGCCTCCGAGGCGGGCGGAGCACAGTGCCCCCTGCCCTCGGGTCCCTGTCGGCACCGCCGTGCGCCTGGGCCTCTCGCCCCGCACTCGACTGCAGCCCACTCGGAGGTGATGCCACGCTGAGGACGCCCGCCCCGGCCAGCGGTGTGGGCACTGCCGCTGCGCTGAGGAGCGGGAACCTCGGTCGGCGCGCCTCCGCGCTTCATCGGAGCAGCGCAGAGCTGAGCGTGCGCTCACTACCCAGACCGGGCAGAAGGAGAGAACACGGGAACAGTTGCCCGTCTGCCGGGCCCTCTGGCTGTGCGCCTCGTCCTGCCAGCGCCCCCACTCAGCTGCTCTGCCGGCTCTGGGCCTGTCTGTGGCACCACGGACAGCCTTCGTGCCCGGCGCGCTCTTATTAGTACAACAAACGGACCCTGCCCTGCTGCCCCAAGAGGCCCGCTGGCCGGCAGGGCCACCCGCTGCAGCAGAAACGGTGGTCATTGGGCCGCCTGCGGGGCCTCCCGCGTCAGTGCTCGCTGTTCGGGAACCCCCGGCGGGACCCAGAAGGAGATTCATTCCCACCTCTGCCCGTTTCCTCCCCTGCGCTGGGTTTCAGTTCGGCGCTAGGGGAGGCTCCCCGGCCCTGGCGCTGCGCCTCTCCTCCGGAGCAGGTGCACCTCGCTCTCAGAACCCTCCCTTTTTTTTGTGGACTATTTTTCATGTTGCTACGTCTGTGTACCTGTTTCTAGCAGAACTGCTGTAAAGTTAATATCCAGAGTCTGTCTGGGCCAGGGAAATAGCTCAGCGGCACAAGCGCCTGCCTGGTAAGCGCAGGGTCCTGAGTTTGATTCCCGATACAAAAAAAGTCCACCTTTCTTTACATAATTTGTCTTCCCGTGCGAACACACACCACACTGCAGGAACTCTTCCCTCACGGCCCTGCTTGCAAGGCACGCAGGCTTGGTCTCTGCGCCTCTGACAGCCAGGAGCAGAGGCGCAGGAAGCTTCCAGCGTCCACGTCCAGGGTCGCACAGCCTGATCGCACCTTCCTTCCACACTAGTTCTCTCCAGTGCCAGAGCATCCCGGGCCCTCTGCAGGCCTCTGAGCCGAGCCTACTGAGCACCCCCGCACCCCTCCGCCCCGGAAGCTCTAGTGTGCCCTCTGCACTCGGCAGACATCAGGTTCTCCGGGGGCAGTGTGCACAGTGTTAAGTCCTCTTCTGGGAAAATACCTGTTAGGGTGGAAGCGGCAGAGCTAAAGCAGAGGCGCTTTGCGCCCGGCCCTTGCTCTGCTGTTCGGAAAGCCTGCGCCTGGGCGCGCCCTGTCACGGCCTCTGTGCATTGAGGGAGCAGGGAGGGGAGTTTACATCGCGCATTCTGCGCAGGCGGGCGGCGTCTTGAGCCCTGAGTCCTCGAGGATGCGGTGCGTGTGTGACACGTGGGCAGGCAGAGCTTCCCGCCAGCCAGGCCTTGGGTATTGCGGCCTCACCCCGGCAGGGCCCACGCGAGGCCCTCTGTTCAGGCTGCCCCAGGCTGCTGCTCTGCGTCACGCGCCCGTTGAGCCTTTGTTATCTGAACCCGAGCTTGCTCTTCATGGCTCTCTAATTGTCTCAGTGCTTTTCCTCCAACCAAATTGCAAGCTGCAAGGAATATGTGTCGTGTGTTTTTGGGACCTGCCTCAGAGGGTAGCACCGAGGTAGGTACGACGTAGGCCCCCTAGTAATGCTTAGGCTGGATCACTCGGACCCTAAGTACCGTGAGCGTTTCCTGCGTAACTTCCTCTCAGGCGCCGGTCACCAGCGTCGTTTTCTGTGGACATCTTCGGGGCAGACTCCATCCAGAATTCTGTATTTGCTGTTCTAGGATGCCGAGTCCTCCCAGCACGTCACGGGCCTCGACAAGGACCGGACACTGCAGAACCCGATCCAGGACAACATGGAGAACTACCGGAAGCTGCTCTCCCTCGGTGAGTGGCTGCCGCACCCAGGTGCCCTCAGCCCAGTTGTGGGTCCTGTGGGCACCTGCTTGTTTTCAGTCAAGCTGCAGGATGAGTCCAGGTTAACAGAACCGGACTTTCATGAGGACACTTTGAACATTTTCAAGCAGGGGTATAAACGCCAGGATTTGTTTTTCAAAGAAAGCTGTCGGGCTTTGGGTGAGGAAGGCATTGTACAGGTGCAGGGCTGGCTCTTGCCGCAGAGTTGACGCTTTTGCTAGGGTCGTGAAAGCACAGCCTTCTCAGCACATTTAGAATGGGACCTTGCGTTGTCCTGCGCACTCCCCCGAAGACCTCTAGCCGGAGCGGGTCACTGGCTCTGCAAGCCTGTGAGACCGCTGGCTTCAGAGAGCTCTGGTGTTCGCAGAGCAGGCAGGGACGACATCAGGAAGCTGGGGAAGACCACGGAGACCTTGAAGAAGGGGGGGCTGTGAGACAGTGAATGCATGAACATGGGTGTCTCTGACAGATTTTGGGGTGTCGTAGAGAGAACTAAAGTGCAGCCGGGGAAGGGTTAGGGAATGGATAGTAGGAAATTGAGACAGGAAATTAGAGACACCTGGGAACTGGAGAGGAGCTGCTTTCTGTTCCGTGGCTCATAGGAAGGTGGAGCTCAGTCTGCAGTTTGAATGTGAGCTCTTGTGTTGTTCTTGTGACCAGGGGTACAACTTGCTGAAGACGACCGCCACTCCCACATGACACAGGGCCGCGCGTCAAGGGCCCCCAGAGATGCCTACCCCAGCACCAGCCAAGGTGAGCACCAGGCAGAGCCTGCACCTACTCTTCATGAGTGTGGTGAGCCCGTGACCCATGAGACCGAGCCAGAGGCGCCGTCTGCACCTCGCGCCCCCAGCCTGCCGGGTCCCACTGCCGCTGTAGCCACGTTTGGGGCTGGGAGTGTTCACCTTTGTCTCTTCCCAGGTCTGAAAACTATACCTGAAGCCAGAACGTCCACCCAGCAGCTGGAAGTCTGTGAAGAGGAACCTTCCTGTGGAGTGATCACGGACAGCCTCCTCAAGGGTGTGTCCCGCGGCGGCTCCACGGCCGGAAGAGCGCGGGGGCCCCGTGAGCGGCTTCGGAGGCCCCCCAGAACGCTGGGGGACCGCTGGAAGGATGCGTTGTGCAGCAGGCGGAAGCTGGCAGTCCCGGGGAGGGGTGGCAGAGGTACTGTGTTCAGGAGAGGCTTCAGGTCCATCTCCAGCCTCGTCGCCAGACGGAGAGGCCTGGAAAGAAAGAGGCACCGTCCTGTCGATGCTGCTGGGCGGGACCCGGCCGGCAGCCACAGAGGCTGCGCCAGGAGGAAGCCCGCCGTGTGCGGCAGGAAGGTGAGCACAGCCACGAGCGTGAGCGGCCTGGGCAGCCCCGGCGCCCCCTCCGTCTCGGGGCCACAGCCCTTCGATTTGGGGGTGAAGCTGTTTCTGTGTGATGAGTGTGGGGGGTCGTTCGGGGTCATCTCAGAGTATGTGGAGCACCAGATCATGCACACGAGGGAGAGTCTTTATGAGTATGGCGAGGCCTTCATTCACAGCGTGACTGTCAGCAAGGTCCAGAAGGGTGGGGGGAAGCACTTCGAGTGTAAGGAGTGTGGGGAGACCTTCACCCAGACGTCTGCCCTGGCGGAGCACCGCAGAGCCCACGCCCGCGCGTATCTCGCAGAGTGTCAGGCTCAGGACATCGAGGAGACCGAGATGCCCAGCCCAACCGTCACGGAGCTTGAGAAGATGTACGGCAAAGACAAATTCTACGAGTGCAGGGTGTGTAAGGAAACCTTCCTTCGCAGCTCTGCCCTGGTGGAGCACCAGAAAACCCACGATAGAGGGAACTTGCTTGCTGACAGAGCTGGCAGATGCCAGCGGGAACGTGAGCGTGAGCCCCAGCGTGGGGAGCCAGGCGTGCCCCGCCCGACCCTCTGTGGATTCCGGAAGGTGTACGGCAGGGAGCGAATCCGTGAATGTGAGGTGTGTGGGGAGGCCTTCCTTTACAGTGCATCCCTGAAACAGCATCAGAAGATACACCTGCGAGGAAACCCGTCTGGCCGCGAGAGTGGGGTGGGTGAGGAAACCTCTGCTCCCGGTCAGTCACTTAGAAGGTGGCAGAAGACCCACACTGGAGAGAAGGTGTTTGGCTCCACAGATGGGAGCGATGCATCGAAGCCAAGCCCGGACCTCAGCGAGCGTCAGAAAATCCACTCTCGAAAGAACGTCTTTGCAGGCAAGGGTTCTGAGAAAGCTGCCGTTCACAGCGTGCCCGTCCCTGACTCTCAGAAGAGTCATACCATTGCCAGAGCCCCTGAAGACGAAGGCACCAAGCCCAGTGAAGACCAGCGGTTTCCCGTGGCAGAGAGTGTCCTCGAGGGGACACCGTTCGAAAAGCCTGTCTCTCACGGCCCGGCCCCAGCAGAAGCTCAGAAATGCCCCAGCTCAACGGAGCTCAGAGAACCAGAGCTAACGGCAGAGTCTCCCGGCCAGGGCGCTGCGGTTCCTGGTCACCAGAAAGTCTGTTCCGAAGGGGACACCGGGGCAGGAAAAGGCTGCAAGAGGCCCATCACGCCCAGCTTGTCTGCTCCCACGCCTCCGAAGCGTCACCGAGAGAGTGAACGTGTTGAGTGTGGGGAGAAGGGAGACACCTCCACTGACACTTCAGACCTTGCTAAGAAGAGGCCAGGGATTCCCACCGGAGAGCACCCCGGTGAAGGCGGGGAGAAGAACAGCTCCAAGGACTCAGTCACACAGGGCGAGCCCCATGCTGAACCTCGAGGAAGTCTTGCTGGAGGGAGTGCCGGTGACCGTAAGCCCGATGGCAAATCTGCCGTGCCCAGCCCGAGCGTCCCTGAGCACCAGAAGGTGCAGGCTGAGAAGGACCTTGAGCCTGGCGGAGGTGAGCCCGCTGCGGTGAGCGCCCCGGTGCACGAGGAGCCGCGGCCGGTTTTCCCCAGGAGGCGGCGCTGTGCGTGTCAGCAGTTCGGGAGGGCCTTCCCACATAGCGCCGCCCACGCCGCCGCACGCCAGACGGCTCTCGGCGGACAGAAGCCCGCGGGAGGCAGAGACGGCGAGCGCTCTGCCCCTCACGGCTCGCCCCCTGCTGACCCTCAGCCCAGCCGTGCCCAGCAGCAGCGCGCCGACGAGCAAGCACGCAGCAAGCCCGGGGGGTTGGGGCAGTGCCCTGCCCCTGGCAGCACCCTTCAGACAGCTGATGCCCGGGAGAAGCCCCGTGGTCAGGGCTGCGCTGGAGGCACTGCGGTTCAGGCCTCGGGGTTGGGCGGGCCCCGGAAGGGAGGCCCCGAGGGCAGCGGCCGTGGGGGTCGGGACGG